TAAAAGAATTGTAATGTTATGCTTAAAATGTTTACATAATGTCTTGAAACATAACTGAAATCAATATAAAATATGAAAATACACATATGTGCATTCTTTTCCCTGCCCTACTATAAAAGTGATTTAATAAGTGTGATTTAATGCATTTTCATATGACCATTACAATATTACTCCCACTTTGACACTAGCACAAGTTCAAGCGCAAAGCAATTCTTGCCCTTGTTCACCTTTGCACTTACTGGACTGCCATTCTTGGTTGAAGTGCAGACAAAACTGGACATGAAATCCCTGTATTTGATTCCTTACATTGGCATCCACATAAGAATTAGCTTAATCACATACAATGTATTTGTACGCTTACAAAAATCATAAATGTTATTATTCCTTTTCTATCCAAAAGATTTCTTTCCTTCTTGAATATATATTCGTATCCATGACACTTTAGAAATCCTGAAATATCTAAAGGGTATCTCTAGTTGTGGGCAACAACTAAATGCCATAGGGGTAACTTTTCACTCTCCGATAGGAAGAGATCTTTTGATACTCTGGGTCTCATATATTCAGTGTTTGTGCACATGAATTTAGGAGCAGTTGGCTTGCCAATGTCTGTTTGGCTGTGTATACACTGTAGTAGTGTATATAGTCATATATCATAGGCTGCACAAGTTTTAATTTATGTAAAATTGCCCCTGAAACAAGCTCATTGATGCTCCTGGTATCGCAAGATGTCAAGCTATGAAAAATTTCATTTGCCTTTATCCTGTTGCAGGAGCTCCCTATGAGATGCTCAGCACTAAACCTTGTTGATTCAGGTGATAGTCATTGAGGATGACTGCATCGTCACATTTAAACCAGTTGCACTTTTCACTCAAGCCATAGCAGAGCTGGTACAAAATGGCGACTATAATATCCGTTTTTTATTTTACTCTATGCTGTCTGCAGAATGTGAAGGGTCTGTCACTCCATCCTGAATTGCATCAAATAGCCTTGGTACCCCAGAAGACACACAGACAAGCTTTAAATGAGTCATACATTGGCTCACTTGAAGCTACCATAAACTCAGACTTTATAAATATCAGGCTTTAAGTTCTCCTCATGTTGAAATTGAATGAAAAGGAAAAGTTAGAGCTAATTTTCTCTTATTTTCAATTTTTTAATCTTAGCCCAGGTATGGGCTAGTCAAGGGAGCTAGGCCTTATTAGTTATATCTTAAATAATTAACACATGTGCAGTAGAAAATACCAAAAACAAAATTTATGAAAAGCAAAAATGAGTGCAAGCATGGAAGTATCAGAAGAAGAAAATTCACTTCAATGTCTCAGAGAGAAAATGCAGTTTTAGATAGGACTATGATCTTTACTATTTTAAGTATTTTCACTGTTGTGTGCATATTTGCAATTTTCTAGTGTGTAAAAGTGTGGGGAGTAAAGGGAAGGATTTTTGATGGTTAGGGTTATCTCAATAAAACACATCTGTAATATGAAACATCTTGTACCACACTCCTGTTTTGGCTCATCTAATTCTTTATTTTAGAAGTATAAGGGGCATCTTGGAGTCAAGAGCCTCCATATTACAAAATTCTGCCTACACCCCTGAAATAAGTTAAGGCATCACATAGATTTAATAGATGTCATTTCTTGAGTTTGGGTCTTCAGTTTTGTATCATCTAGTCAAAAAGGGAAACTTATAATTTCATAGCCCTGGGTGGGATATCTTTGAAATTTTATCAGTCGCAGAATTAGGGCACTGCACCTGCTTTGGCCACTGGTAGTTAGGATGGGGTATCTCTGAAAAGTAATCACTGGCATAATCACTGCACTAAGGTTGCACATCTCTGAAAAACATGGCGTTCCTGAACCATAACTGACGTGAAATTGTATTATTGCAAGGGGATTGTCGCAAGAACTGCAGTTATGACTATATAAACAGACTAGCATTTATAATTTTTTTTCACAGCGTTTTATTCAAATCGTAAGCGTCGGACTTTTGTACTCGGTCAAAACTTACATTAAGAGATTTTTTCCCAGTTATCCAGTGTTTAATAGAGGAGTTTTGCAGCTGTTACCCAGAAACCCATCGACGTGTCCGCGCGCAAGCCAAAACACGAAACAATAATCACTCATGGACCACAAACCGCGCAAAATTGTGAATGATCTGCGACTTATTAGCCTTGAGACCAATCTCGCATATTACAAAGAAGACTTTGTGTTATCTGCACTCCACAAAGATGAAACAGATGACTAAGACGATGGTAAGTTTTAAAAGAGGCGCCATTTTTCTTTGCCGCATTCGCTGCGATCCCATACCACCACAAACTTCCGTCCAGCGGCTCGCGCATACTCGCAACGTTACCACTTGCTGTTGGTGCCGAGTTGCTGACTTCGACAATTTTGTTTTCGCTTCATTATTTCCTGTTTGTCAAGGGAAAATAAGTCAAAGGACTCGGCCGTCTTATGGCGTCAAAAGTAGTGGTCTCGATAGAATATTGGTAAGTTATTTTAGATCAGTTTTCCTCGTGATTTGACTTCTCCCTCTTTTACATTTCTGAATTCGTATTGTCCACAGATATTGGAAAGGATTCATGACGACCTTTCGTTTTGCATCTCAACTGACTCAACAATTGGAATTGTAATGAAGATTTATTTTGCACAAAAACTTGTTTAGTTTCATTTGTCAAGCCTTTTCACTCACTCAAGTTAAAGTCATGTATCTCGACAGAATGGATTTCCTATGTTTGTGCTCTGCTCGGGTTACTACTACTTGTTTGCACGTGACGTCATGGCGGCCATGTTGGTGGTCAAGAACAAAAGCTTTTCTCTTCTCTGGGAACTAAACTATATTGTCATGTAAATTTTTCGAGCAACATTTCTATTGTATTAACCCCCAACATGGCCGCCTTGTCACGTGGTTGCAAGCCAAGAATTGTGAGTGAAGAAGTGTCATGGTTTGCACTTTGTTTGAAATAAGGGAATTGTTGTAAATTATGAAACACATGTTAATCAAATTGAAGATTCCGACGGTGACATTATTTTGGCAGTTCAAAGCATGCATTGTGTGCGAAATCTTTTTAAAATCATGTCATACATGTTTTTTCAAGGTTTCTCAAAGAAGAAAGTGAAATTTCAATTTGGAAATATTTTGGTCACAGGTCATAAACACAATCTTTGCGGAAAGTGAAAAAAAGTGATTCATTATTTCATTATTGACAGCCGGGAAAAAGTAAGCCTTGACAGAAAAAGCCTACAGATTCAGGCTAAAAGCTGGGATTTTTTTTTGAACCCTGTATTCTGGTTGTTTATTCAAGAAAACAGTACTTGTTCAAGAAGTGTAAATGCGATGTATGGTGTATTTGTCATTTCAGCTCTCAAGTCATGAAATTTTACCCTGCCCCAGTAATACAGCTACCCTGTTAAAAGGGCCATTTTTTTTACGCATTGGTGATTTTTAGGGAGAATGAATTTAAGTTTGTCCAGCAATAATGTGACCTAAGTTGTCAGGATGAGTCTGATTCGCACATACAAACGTAGGCCTTGGTGTTTTCGTTCTTATCTTTTGTTATGGGCTGGTCGATTCAAAACTTCAAAACCCCCGATGAGCAACCTCCCCCCCCCCCCCCCCCCCCCCTTTTTTTTTAAAACAGGCCTTGATCTTTTTTTTTTATATACACTTTACCTTCAAAAACGCATACAGTGTACATGTAGCTTATGGATCGTCCAAAGACGCTAAACTTGGAATTTCTGGCTCAAATTCCCCACCCAGGCAATGGTCAAATTCCCCAATACCCCAGCACAAGTGATGGTGAAATGCCTGGCTGGGAGGAAAATTGATCAGCACATTATTGTTGGACAAACTTAAATTCATTCTCCTTAAAAATCACATCTACCAGTCCACAACATCAACAAGTGAAAGTGCTAGGTATTTCATTTACCTCTCCACTTAACAAAGTAGCTTACTTGCATAACCTTCAGACTGTCAAACCCTTTCAGTATGAAAAATCAGGACATTTATTTAACCAAAGTACAAGTGACATGAGCGCTGAAGCAACCTTGTTCCCAGGGTTCTCTTCTACCCTTCCCTACAGAGAGAGAGAGAGAGAGAGAGAGATAGATAGATAGGAGAGAGAACCTGGGAACAAGGTTGGCACTGAAACTTAGAGTAAATAAATAACTAACTTAATAAATAACCTCAGATGGGTATGATTCTCCAGTGTGGTACAAAATAATAATATCTTACCTAGTATCTTTGTCTGTCATCCTAGGACATACAAAGTCACAGAGATTTGAGGAATATGTATAACATCATGTTACGAGTGTATACTGTTCAAGTCATACTGAAACTTCATAAAAATGATGAACAACTTCAGGCACATTTTGAATTAATTTTGTACTTTATTGAGGAATTTTACCTGTCAAAGTGAATAAATTATTCTAAATTTAATTTCTCATACTCTTAATGTATGGTTGGGCCACCTGTGCTGCTATGAGTGTAAAAGTCGGATTAATGGATGAAAATATCATGTAATTTTGCAAAGATACTGAGTTTTCTTTTATTCTTTCAGTGGTGGATGAGGGTATGGCCCACGCTACGAGGAACTGGCTGATAACATCAAGGCCAGTGTCCCTGAAGCTGATGTTAGTGGCCATGTTGGTCGCACATGTAAGTTGAAACCAAAGAGCCTTCACAATCTTTTACCTAAGATAAACTTAAAAGAACTGTGTCACGGAATTTATCAAAATTCACTCAGTTGGATCTTCCACCAAATTGAGTGAAGCATAAGATAATCGCTGAGAACATTAAAAGAAGGTCTTCTCTGTTTTCACTGTCACACCATCAACAATAAAAATGCAAACTGTTTAATACAGAAAGTCCAGAATCTGGAAAATGAAAGAAGATAGCGTAAAGTCTCGCCAAGAATCAAGGCTGTGGGATATTTCATATGCGAGATAATCAGAAACGTCTTACCCAAATTTATAAAGTTTTGTATGGAGGTCAGGTACCTCATTGGTGTCCCTTTGATGGGCACAAATGTGGCTGCCAAAAACCAACAGAAGAATCAATAGTTTCTTGGTTTGAATTTTATGTGACAACATTTGAAAAACAAGAATAAATAACATTTAAGCCCATTATTGATTTTCATATCTATTTGGGGATAGGTGTCAAAGGAAACTGAGAATCAACCTAGAATTTTAACCTTAATTTAATTTTGGTCTGTAACTTTTTTGAGCCCTCATTTTTTTGTGTCAGAAATCTCACTCATTCCTTGCACTCCTTCATTTAATTTGCTTAATAATGTCAACATGTTTAAATACTATCTCTCAAACTTTCTTTGAGGTATAAAGAGGGCATTACATGGTGGCCCAGAGAAACGAAATTTTGTCTTCGAGTGTTCTTAAGAGGGAGAGCTGTACAGCCCCCAAAATGATCCTGACCCCGAAATGATCCCCAACCCTGAAAGGATCCCCAAATCGACCCCGAAATGATACCAACCCCGAAATGATCCCTATTTCTCTTCATGTCAACCCCAAAATGATCCCCAATTAATTCTTGGAATGGAACTTGTATTCCGCCACGGAATTATTACAAATCTGTTGCAGCGTTTACGTTCTTAAATCGTGTTTAACACTTCGCTACAAATTAAAAACATTACAGTTTTTCCTTCTTTTCTTCCCATGAGACCCCGTGTGCGCCTCAACCTAATCCCCAATCTTCTGTCATCCCAAAAAACACTTAAATAGCGACTGGGTACGAGTCTGAGTCAAGAAGATGTAAGCAGCGAATGATCAAACAAAGTGAAATAGAGTTTAGTTGCGATATTTCGACTGGCTAATACCAGTCTTCATCAGGTCTATTGAGACATCACAAATTCACAGAAATATATATGAAGTAAAATTATGACCGGAAATTACATAGTATGACGTGGTATGGTGGCTTTAAAAGACAAGATAACAAAAAAATAAAAGATATACTATATATAGTTACAGTTCGTCATGTTTGTTGATGCCCAGAGGCTCAATTGTCTTAGCTTTATGGATAAGGTGGGCTTCACATGCTTTCCTGAAAGAATCACGCCCATTCTTAAGTTTTTCAATAGGAATCAAAAGCATATGATTGTCGGAATGATTACTGGTTAAAAAGTGTTCTGAAACTGCAGTATGGATGTAATTACCAGTAGGGTTGAGTATAGGTCGTCTGTGTTCATGAAAACGGTCTTTGAGGCGACGCTTAGTTTCTCCAATATATTGTAGATTACACAGGCGACATTGAATCAAATAGATAATATTAAAAGTTTCACAAGTGATATGAGATTTGATGTGGTGGTTCTCACCTGTAGAGTGAAAAGTGTAATCGCGGCTACGACAAAACCTTTCCTAAGATCCAATGCAACGAGCTTCCGACATTCTTTGCACTGACCCACTTACAAATCCAAGACTCAGACTGAAACCTGCTAAAGTCTTCTTGACTGTAACATTTTCAATTTGATCTATTTTGAGTGATCATGATCTTTTTGGATCCGACATTGAGTAAGATTGATTGTACATGGTATTTGCAGTGTTTTTCTTTTTTTTACCTTAATTAAACATTTTGCTACAGTTTATGTGATTTTTTAGCGCTTTTGTCATCTAATCACTTTATGTATACTTTTGCATCTTCAATGTCATTTTAAGATGTTAAAAAGTGTTAAAACACCATTTTTAAAATTCAATATCCAAGGCATGCAGTATTAATTAACATCATTTTTAGAATTTAACATCTATGCAGTTTTCTCTATAACCCGGCTATACTCACCTAAGTAATAATTTTAAAAAATGTTATGTTTCTTGATATTATCAGTTGCAGTTCATGGTGTTCCTAAAAATATACTACACTTTGTGTATTTTTTTGATAATAATATTTTCGTTTAATTCACCTTCAAAGTGTAATCCCAAATTAATGTCATGTGGGCAAGTGAAGATTGTTAGTGAAGTTTAAGTTATAATGTCATGCATTTTGCACAATCCATAGTTCTAGGATATCATTCCATGGGGATCATTTTGGGGTCAACGTGAAGAGAAATGGGGATCATTTCGGGGTCGGTATCATTTCAGGGTCGATTTGGGGATCATTGCAGGGGTGGGGATCAATTTGGGGTCGGGATCATTTCAGGAGCTGTACAGAGCAGCGAACGAGTGAGATATTTTTCAACACGAGAAGAGAAATTTTGTATCTCCAAGTGGCCATGTAACGATTTATTTATTAAAACACCAATGAAATGCCAAACCATTTCACTAAAATATTTTTGGCTGTGTAAGGCATGATTTATTATGTAGCCATAGCAATGGTGATTTTTTCACATGTGAAAATAACATGTTATCTTCAGGTGTGAATAAATCATGTTTTTGCATGAATGCTCACTTGGTATTTCATTGGTGTTTATATAATAACGTATATTATTTTGGTTTTGTTAGGCTAGTCAGTTATGTATGAAGAACTTTTAAGCACTTTATACTAATTTGGGGCTCATTTCCTACTTTTCCCTGTCACAGCCTCATTTGAAGTCACTATAAATGGAAAGCTGGTGTACTCAAAACTGTCCCAAGGAGCATTTCCTGTATTCAAAGAGGTAAACAATAGTTCAGCATTGTAGAAAGCAATAATATTGGAATTGTTTCCTATCTGAGGATCATAGTTTCTGTGGTGGTAATTTTGTTCTTCAGGGTGCAAAGAAAGTCAGTTTTACAGCCTGCCATTGAGCAAACTGTAGCTAGCATGTACTAGCCCACAAGTCATTTCAACTAGCCCAAAACCCTTTTTGATTAGCAGGATTGATTACAATCCTTCTGTAATTTGAATTTCCCCCCAAAACAGCACTTGCCCATCAGGCAAGTTAAGAACAAAAATCACTAGCCCTAGCGAAAAACTCACTAGCCCCGAGCTATCGAACACAACTTTCTTTGCACACTGTTCTTACTTTGCATCTAGTCCTGGAATGTGTGAATGGTTCCTCTTTATCTACTGTCAACTCCATTTATATGTACGTGGAGAGGGCTGCCATACAGTGTGGAAAGTGTCCATATTGAGTCGAACATGTTATTTAAGTCAAAAATAAACCCTTTTATTTAAACAATATACTAAGAAATAGAAAAGGACATTAGCATCATCAAATTAAACAACTCTTACCTTCAAGAAGCCATCATTCTGCTGTCTATGTCAGTGGAAACAATCAATGTCACACATAAAATACTTTACTTAAAGAAAAACTGTTCTATGAACAACTTGTTTAATGCCAACGTATTCTGGTGTTATTGACGTCTGCAATAATACTATTATTATTAATTATTAATCCTATCTCAGAGGTCTGTAGCACTGGGAAGACAGGGAAGATCGCTGTCAACTGAAGGTTTTTTAAACTTAGAAAAGGAATATTTTATTACAGCACACAGTTGAAATTGAACTGTCCACACCACACTAGCAAAGTTAACTTTCTGTGACAATCCGTTTGTTGAGCAAGAAACGAGTGTGTGTTGTCCACATTACACTGTAACGAGTGTTTGTATTAAGCGGGTTGAATTAGAGAAAATGCTAAGGCTTTACCCAGAGAAAAAGCAAACTGTCCGTAGTGAGGTGTCCTTTTTAAGATGGTGTCTGTAAAGCGAGATTTGACTGTACGTTTTAAGTCACCTGCTGTTTCAAGTTATTAATAAGAAATTATATTTTTACTTTTGCCAAGATTGTCCAGGTGGTTCATGAATGCAGTGAAGGAAAAGAACCTCGAGAAGTGACAGAAAAAGAGCCAAATTCTTGCATCTTGATGTAAAGTACATCATTAAAATTGCCACTCCTGTTCAGAGTTATTAATTATGACCACTTATCAGTTATAATACTATTGTAATTTAGGGGTGGCGAATGGTACCTCGAAAAACGTGGGTCTCGGAAAATTTTGGCAGGATCTCGAAATCTCGGAAGCGTTTTTGATAAGTCTCGAAGTCTCGTTTTTTCATGGTTTGCTTTTACTTTTTTTGAGTCTCAAAAATTTTCACCAAAGAGTCTNGGGTGGCGAATGGTACCTCGAAAAACGTGGGTCTCGGAAAATTTTGGCAGGATCTCGAAATCTCGGAAGCGTTTTTGATAAGTCTCGAAGTCTCGTTTTTTCATGGTTTGCTTTTACTTTTTTTGAGTCTCAAAAATTTTCACCAAAGAGTCTCGGGCTCGGATTTCTAACTAGGATCTCGGCGTCTCGGCGAGTCTCGGATTTTACCATTCGCCACCCCTTAATTTTTAGGAAAAAAATTCAATGTAGCCTTTTGTTGAAAATCAATGTACAACTACTTTTTCTTTTCGCTTTTTTCTTTTCTTATATGCTCCCGAGCCAGGATCATTAAGTAAGCCCTTGTTGATTTTAGATTTTAAAATTTCTGTTTTCTTTACTGTCTGAAGGAGGTTTGGCAACACAACTAACCAATTTACTCAGTATTTTATACACCTCAATTACTAATATTTATCAGTCTGGGTATCTATTGTTGATGCAAAGTTCACTGTTTGTTTTTTGTATGATAGTCACATCTGAAAGTTTGTCAATGATGTTGACTTGAAGTTTATAAATTCATCAGTGTAAAAGCAGAAACTTAATGGATTTTCCAGGTTATTGCAAGTTGTATGTAATCTGAATTATTAATCAATAAAGGAAGGTAATTTCATTTTAATCATGCTCAATGATTCCAACGCAATGAAGATGGCTGCGAATAGCGTGCAATAGAAGAACAGAGAAGCGCACTGGATTCAAGAATGTATGAGGCCGCAAAAGCCAGCGAATGATTAACGTAAAAAGAAGGCTTTTTCCTTTTTTGCTAGATCACGACCAGGCAATTGCTTGGATTTGTTACCAATTTCGCGAGGAATTTGTTTTTCAGCGCATGAATGGAGACGCGTACGATCTCTCTGTACAATACTTAACTGAACGAGTTAAAACTAGGCCCACAGTAATAAGAAGAAGAATACAAAAAGAGAATAAATTGGGCAATGTTGATAAGCTTTAATTCTTGTATTGGTAGCCGTGTCCAAAGTTTGAAACTTCGCTCCCAGTTACTATTATCAAGAGTCTCTATCCTCAGGTAGACTGACTGATTCCTTAATCACGCTGACTTTTGTTATAGGCCTATGAACTGCGTGGAGGGTTCCTAACCAAGAAGAAACAAGAACGCTCTAAGTAGCGTTGAGTCTCGCTTGTTTGTAGATAAGATAAGAAGTGAGGAGGTGAATAGAGCGCGAGCGTTCGTCACTCGGGGGGGGGGGGGGGGGGGCCCC